TCCTCCTCCTCCTCCTCCTCCGCCTCCTCCTCCTCCTCCTCTCAGATGGGAGCGGGGCAGATGCCTCGAGACCGCCGGAAAGCTAGGGCCCCGAATTTCGCGCTGCGCGCTGCGCGAGGCGCGCAGCGCAGATCGCTTCGCGTTATCGCGCCGCCTCCCCGGGGAAAAGGGGAGGATAAGGAGGAATCGGAGCCGAACCGCTAAGCGCGAAGCGGAAAAAAACTTCGCGCCCTCGAGGGCGCCCTTGGAAAGGCTCGGTTTGGGAAGAGAGCCATCATAGGCCTTCGACCTCCACATCTTCTTGAGCACGCTTCGGGGCCGGATTCGCGTCACAGCGGCCCGCGAGGTGGGCATCAGAGCCGTCTCACCATGGCCAATCAGTTCATGTTCTGCCATTGACCTCATTACATGCGTAGCATCCCTCGCGTTGTGAAAGAACAAAACACGACGGGAAGTGCTGCTTCGCTATTCTCGGCCTCGGGGGGGGCCCTTGCCCGGGCCCTGGGAGCGTCAGAAAACGACCCAGGACGAAAAGCCGGCCCCTGGGAAGGGGGTCCAGACTTCTGAGGGTCTCGCCATGACAGAAAAAGTCACGACGTCGGGGGTCTGGGTCCACAGCTGGTGCAAAAAAAAAATGCGGTTGCCATCGAAGAGGATCATGGAAAGACGTCGTGCGAAGAGGCCAAGGAGGCAGCCATCCCCGTGCCAAGCCGTTGCAACGAATGTGCGTGGCACCCCACTTCGACAACGAAATGCCCTCCGCCCGTGCAACCGCTGCCAGATGCGAAGGCGAGTGCGCGCGGCACCGAGGCGAGAGGCCCCACTTCGGAAGGCAAGCCTCCGTCCTGATGCACTCTGCAACGGTCTAAGGCAAGCGTGCGCGGCGCTGAGCTGCAGCGCCATCTTGAAGATGGCCCGCCCTCCTTCTGTGCAGCTTTAGCGAAGTCGAAGCTCCGGAGACCGCAACTGACGAGGAGATTTCGGGCGAAACGCCCGGGCCGCCTGCCAGCACGTCTGAGGGCGCGGCACGGGGAAGCTGTCCGCGAGGGAATGGAGGGAGGACGACGAGGGGAGAGGCAGGAGGGGAGGAGCGTGAACGAGCGAGGAGAAGAGGAGGTAGGTGCGAGCAGGAAGGAGGCAGGGGAAAAAAGAAGAAGGACGGAGGAGGGGAGGGGAGAGGAGGGAAGGAGGGAGGAAGGGAAGGGGGGGAGGAGCGGGGGAAGGGAGGAGAGGAGGAGGGGGTGCGGAGGGCAGGGGGGGAGGAGGGGGAGAGGGGGAAAGAGAGGAGGGGCCAGTGCTCGGCTGCGGGACGGGCTGGACTTCAGCCTGCGAGCCGAGCGCGCCGTGGCCTCGCGGGGCCACCTGCTTGGGTGGGAGCAACGGCTCGAGGTCTCTCCTTAGCGGGAGGGGGAGGAGGAGGAGGAGGAGGAGGAGGAGGAGGAGGAGGAAGAGGAGGAGGAGGAAGATTCCAGCCAGCAGCAGGCCCCACGAATACTGGACTGACTTACCCCCCTGAAATCAGATCTTGCCCCAAAAAATGCGACATCGCGAAAAGCGCGGCCAGAGCCCCAGATCCCGTCTTGCTGCTGCATCTTTCGAGCTGGCTCGATGTGTGATGGTCCCAGGGCGCGAAGCGGGGCGAAAACGCTGTGTCCTCGTCGTCGTCGCCGCCGCCGTCGTCGTTGTCGTCGTCGTCGCCGCCGCCGCCGCTGTCGTCGTCGTCGTCGTCGCCGTTGTCGACGCTGTCGTCACCGCCCCGCATAGCGCGCAACAGGAGCGAAGCCCAAGCAGGAGGCTCGGGGAAAACAGCCTGCCAGAGACAAGCGGCTCGTGCCCGAATTGGCTGCAGGGCGAGCTCCGCACGGCCCGGACCTCGCCCTGGGTAGCCTCCTCCTCCTCCTCCTCCTCCTCCTCCTCCTCCTCCTCCATCTCCTCCTCGCCCTCCTCCTCCTTCGTATCCACTTCCTTCTCATCCTTCTCCTCCTCCTCCTCCTCCTCCTCCTTCTCCTTCTCCCCTCCTCATCCTCCTCCTCCTCAGCCTCCTCCCTCACCTCACCACAACCCGCACCACCACCACCACCAGCAACATCACCACCTACAACTACAACAACACATGCTCAACTCGCCATCGATCGCCATCACCACTAGCAAAAGCACAGTCATCATCGTCGTCATCATCATTATCATGAGCATCATCATCATCATCAGCAGCATCATCAGCATCAGCATCAGCATCACCATCATTAGATGCAGCATCATCATCATCATCATCATCAGCATCAGCATCATCATCATCATCAGCAGCATCATCATCATCATCATCATCATCATCATCGTCATCATCGTCACCATCATCAGCATCAGCATCATCATCATCCTCAGCCTGATTTTAATCATCACCAGTATCATCAACACTATCGTCATTATCATCACCGTCGCGATCAACATCACCATCATCACCAACCTTACTGGCAGAACCATCATCATCACCAGCAGCAGCAGCACCATCATCATATATATTCAGCATCATCATCACCCTCAGCACCGTCACCTGTAACACCATCCTCATGCAGCAGCATCAGTTCCATCATCATCATCAACAACATCATCATCAGCATCGTCGTTACCAGCATCACCATCATCATCAGCAGCAGCATCCTCATCATCCACATCATCATAATCAGCAGCAGCATCATGACCCGCAGTATCAACAGCACCAGCAGCAACACCACCATCAGCACTACCAGCATCAGCATCATCATCCTCATACACATACTCATCATCGTCACGAATGGCATCATCATCATCCTCATCGTCATCAACAGCATCAGCTGCTGCAGCAGCGCCGCAGCAGCAGAATCTGAATCACCATCATCGTCATCATCATCAGGATCATCATCAGGATCATCATCAGCATCATCATCATCATCATCATCATCATCATCATCATCATCATCATCATCACCGTCATCATCATCATCATCATCATCATCATCATCATCCTCATCATATCATCATTGTCGCCGTAGTCGTCGTCATCGTCATCCTCACCGTCATAATCGTATTCGTAATTGTCATCGCCATCGGAATCCGCATCGTCATCAACATCATCAGCGTCGTCAGCATCAGCAGAATCATCCTCATCGTCATAATAGTCGTCCGCATCATCACCATTATCATCATCATCATCATCATCATCATCATCATCATCATCATCATCATCATCATCATCCTCATCATCATCATCATCATCATCATGATCATCATCATCATCAGCAGCATCATCATTATCATCATGATCAGCATCACCGTCATCATCGGCAACCTCATCGTTATCGTCGACAGCACCATCATTATCACCGTCACCATCATCACCATCAGCATCGTGAACATCCTCAACAGCAGCAATCAATTATCATCATATTCGTCATCCTCGTAGTCGCCATCCTCAGCATGAACATCGCAATCGTCATCGTAATCGCCCTCATCCGCATCAACATCATCATCTATCCAACCATCCCCCAGATTCCCCTTCTTTCCATGAGCATCATCGGTATCAACAGTATCGACGCCATCGTAATTCTCGTTATCAGCATCATCATCATCATCATCATCATCATCATCATCATCATCATCAGCTTCGTCGTCATCATCACCAGTATTATCCTCGTCCTTATCCTCATCTTCATCACCAGCATCATCAACATCATCGTCATTATCATCACCGTCACCATCAACAGCATCATCATCATCAGCAGCTTCAGCTTCATCACCATCGCCAGCAGCACCATCATCGTCGTCACCGGTATCGACATCGCCTTCGACACAATCATCATCATCACCACCACACTCAGCACCGCCATCATTAGCATCGCAAGCAAACTCATCACCATCGACGTCATCATCATGAGCAGCAGCAGCAGCAGATCATCATCATCATCATCATCATCATCATCATCATCATCATCATCATCATCATCATCATCATCATCATCGGTATCAGCACCATCATCATCACCACAATCACTGCCACCATCATCATAATCAGCATCTTCATCATCATGCCCAGCTTCATCTTCATTTTCAACTGCATCGTCATCTTCAGCATCAGCATCGTCAGGGTCATCGGCATCAGCATCTGCATTCTCATCATTACCCTGCTAATCCGCATTCTCTTCCTCATCATCATCATCATCATCATCATCATCATCATCATCATCATCATCGTCGTCGTCGTCGTCATCATCAGCATCATCCTCATCATCATCGTTGTCGTCGTCATCATCATCACCAGCATCACCTATCTCATCATCATCAGCGGCAGCTGCAGCAGCATCTTCATCAGCATCAGCATCGTCATCATCATCAACGTCATCGTCGTCGTCATCGTTGCCATCGTCGTCGTCATCCCGACCTGCGCGAAACTGGAGGGAGCCCTGGATGAACATGAAGCGCGAGCGCTTCTGGCTGAGGTTCTCGGCATGCCTCCCACAAGAGAAAGAGGAGGAGCGACGACGACGAGGAGCGGACGCCGCGGACGACGACGAGGCGAGACGACGACGAGGAGGAGCGATGACGACGAGGAGGAAGCAGACGGCGAGGCCTACGACAAGGAGGAGCGGACGCACCAGACGCTCTCGGCGCGCGAGGAGGGCCGAAAGCGAGGCCTGATCAGATGTTGCCCGAGAAGCTGGAGATTGTGCTCTTGTGGCTGGAAGTCGAGAATATCCCTATCCGTCACCTGCCGAGGCAGATCCCAGAGACCACAGCCTCAACCATCTGGCCTTAGTCAAAGCCCAGACAATTGTCCGTAGCAGTGGTCGTTCAATCGTTCCTTCGTTCGTCTGTTCGTTCGATTTTTGTTCCTCCTCCTCCTCCTCCTCCTCATCATCATCGTCATCATCATCATCACCATCATGATCATCATCATCATCATCATCATCATCATCATCATCGTCGTCATCATCATCATCATCATCATCATCATCATCATCATCATCATCATCATGAGCAGCAGCAGCAGCAGATCATCATCATCATCATCATCATCATCAGCATCATCAGCATCATCATCATCATCATCAGCATCATCATCATCCTCATCCTCATCCTCATCCTCATCCTCGTCCTCCTCATCCTCCTCCTCCTCTTCCTCCTCCTCCTCCTCATCCCCCCCCTTATCCTCTTACCTCTTACCTGGCTGCGGAGGAAGGGTCCGCCGAGGGCTCCAAAAGAAGGAGAACGGCAAAGCCCGAGGCCGGCTCCATCCGGGGAGACTTCTGATGTCACCGAAGGAAGTTCCAACGACCAGAGCCCACATCTGGAAACTGCCCTCTTACTCGGGCCATGCCTGGAGATCTGGCGGCAACTTGCCCGCTGACGGGCGGGTGATAAAACTCCTCCTCCTCCTCCTCCTCCTCCTCCCTCCTCCTCCTCCCTCCTCCTCCTCCTCCTCCCTCCTCCTCCTCCTCCTCCTCCCTCCTCCCTCCCTCCCTCCTCCCTCCCTCCCTCCCTCCCTCCTCCCTCCTCCCTCCTCCCTCCTCCTCCTCCCTCCTCCTCCTCCTCCCTCTCCTCCTCCCTCCTCCCTCCTCCTCCTCCTCCTCCTCCTCCTCCTCCTCCTCCTCCTCCTCCTCCTCCTCCCTCCTCCTCCTCCTCCTCCTCCTCCTCCTCCTCCCCCTCCTTCGCCTCCTCCTCCTCCTCCGCTTCCTCCTCCTCCTCCTCCTCCTCCTCCTCCTCCTCCTCCTCCTCCTCCTCCTCTCCCTCCTCTCCCTCCCCTCCTCCATCCCCTCGATCCTGGATCATCTCTCCTCTCTCTCTCTCTCTCTCTCTCTCAGAGAGAGAGAGAGAGAGAGGCCAGGCGGGGGGGGGCGTGAGCGGGCCGCTGCGGAGGAGGGCCGCCTGCTGACCGCGTAGGCCGCAGAGAACAGCGCGCACATCAGGAGAGGCACCAACGCAGCCCAGCCCTCCTTGGGCCGCCTGGGGCCCTGCCTCGGGGGGGGCGCGGCCGTTGTCGGAGGGGGGGTGGAGGGGGGGGTCGTCGTCGTCAGAACAGGGGGGGGGGGAAGGAGGAGGAGGAGGAGGAGGAGGAGGAGGAGGAGGAGGAGGAGGAGGAGGAGGAGGAGGAGAGGAGGAGGAGAGAGGAGGAGGAGGAGGAGGAGGAGGAGGAGGGAGGAGGAGGAGGAGGAGAGGAGGAGGAGGAGGAGGAGGAGGAGGAGAGGAGGAGGAGGGGGAGGAGGAGGAGGGAGAGGAGGAGGGGGGGAGGAGGGGGGAGGAGGGAGGAGGAGGGGGAGGAGGGAGGAGGAGGAGGAGGAGGAGGAGGACGACGATTTGAGGCACTATGGCTTTGGGGTACCGTAACCCCGTTATTGGGCCCAGCTTCCTGGATGTAGGGCACGATGGCCCGTGGATGCCAATGGCCTGGGGGTCATCTGATCTGGGTCCAGGCCGCACGTTGTGGACCAACGAATCCAAAGAGCCTAGGCGCCGTGGCCCAGGCACTGCAGCTCCAGCGAGGAAGTGCATTCAATTTGTGTGTGCGTTGTTGCTGTTATTGAGGACTGTGGACGGGGGGCGGGCTGGGAAACCGCTCGATAATCGACAAAGCTCTGGTGTCACGGAATACTGCGCGGGAGCTCTGGCTGCTGGCGCGCCCAGTCGATAACGGACGGGCCGACACGCCAGGAATTCAGACTTCCCGTTCCCGGTGGGAGTTCACCAGGGGCGGAAAATCGGACAGTTCCTCTGGCGCACGCCCGTACCTCGTCAGAGTGTGTGTATGTGTGTGTGTGTGTGTGGGGGGGGGGGGGGGGGGCGACGCCCTCGCCGGATTTACACTGAGGTGCAAACATGTACACTGATGCGCACGCAGCACGAATCAGCCCAGGGGCACGGCCCAAATGTCACGAACACGGTACGGGACCAGTTTGAGCGAGCCTTGGGACGTATGCGGGTCCGTACGCATTCTGGCTCAAGTCGGACTGATGGCGTAGCATGAAGAGTTGTATAGTCGTCGGTCCATCACCTACTGGACACACATATATACATATCATTTACCGTCCATTGTGAGACCTTCTTGTTGGCGCCACTGCGCCGATGGCAAAACAAGATACAGGTAATGCATGGAACACGTGGAGCAATGATGGTATGAGAGGCCCCGAAGCTGAAACGGACGATGCGGGAATAGACATACCTGTACAGAGTACGCGATGGCATAGGCAAGCAGCCTGAAGATCGTTGGTGTTTTTGTTGATGTGGGCCTTGCCTTTGCCCTGAAGCTCACCGGGATCCTCAATCTGTAGTGGGCACCCTTGTGGATCACTTCAAACAAGCAACTTTACAAAGTCAGAGGAGAGGCCATGCTACACTCGACTAAGATTGTTGAGGGAACAAGAGCATTCGGTGACACTGGCCGGTGACCTCAATGGGCCGCATGGAGGCCCCAGCAGGTCACCGACGTCAACTGCGGGAACCAGAGGTCGGTGACCTCAGGAGGCCGCTTGGTGGCCACAGAAAGTCACCGACGCAAGAAGTGGGAAGGTCCCCCCTGTCATCCGAAACGGTGTCGCAGGGTATGCCCAGAGACACGCCAACCGCCACCGTCGGTTGGCGATTCTGACCTTCACATCTGCGCTGTTCCGAGCAGGGAGAGGAGGGGGAGGGGTCGTCGTCGTCGCAAGGGGGGAAGGAGGGGGAGGAGGGGGAGGAGGAGGAGAAGGTGACCCCCCCGCGACCTAACCCGCGACCCACCCGCGAACCCCCCGCGAACCCCCCGCGCCCGCCCCCTCACTCTTACCCGCAGCTGCGGGATGCTACATAATTTTCATTGCGGGAAATGCCCCATCGGAAGACAACCCCCTGAGAACCCTCAACTATTCCAAACACATTCCTGGGAACTCAACGCCGCGAACCAACTTGACTGTTGCGTCCTGGCAATCCTAAAGCGTGCCAAAGCATCTTTCCTGGAAGTACACCGCGAATCAATGTGCCAGTTACGTCTGAACAATTCTAAACCGTGCCGGAAAAATCATCCTCGGGACTTCAAGAATACGAATCCTGGAACCTGGAACAAGCTTGTAAGACGAATCTGCGCAGCGCCAACGCGAGAGCCACGTTTTGACGGCCGCAAGCCTTGGAGACGATTGCGTGCCGAGTTAAAAAGCGAGAGCTGCACTCTGAAAACGGGCCGCCCTCCACCATTTGAGACTGCTGCGAACTCTGAGGACGAGCGCGCGCGAAGCTAAGGGGCGAGAGCCACGCTTTGAAAAAACGAGCCTCCCTCCATCCTCGAAGCTGCTGCAGGCTCCTGCGACGAACGTGCGCGAACGCGAACGCGGAAGAGGAGGAGGAGGAGAAAGGAGGAGGAGGAGGAAGAGGAGGAGGAGGAGGAAGAGGAGGAGGAGGAGGAGGAGGAGGAGGAGGAGGAGGAGGCAGGGCGGAGAGGACGAGGAAAAAGAAGATGGCGGAGGAGGACGAGGAGGAGGAGGACAGGGAGAGGGAGGGGGAGCAAGAGAGGGAGGAGAGGGAGGAGGAGAGGGCAGAAGAGGGGGGGGAGAGAAGGGGGGGAGGGAGGGGGAGGAGGAGGAGGAGTCAAGCTGTTGTGATGCATTCGCCCTGCTTGGGCCTCCGGGGGCCTGCGGAGGAAGAGGAGGGGAAGGAGAAGCAAGAGTGCGGAAACGACGAGGACGACGATTGAGAGGATGAGACGGACGCCAACGAGTGATGGCAGAAGAGGTGCGGCAGAAGGAGGAGGGCGAGGACACCGACGCCGACGACAACGCCGACACCGACGCCGACGCCGACGCCGCAGCCGCCGCCGCCGACGACGACGACGACAACGACGACGACGACCGAGGAGGAGGAGGAGGAGAGGGAAAGCAGGGGCAGCAGCAGCAGCAGGGGAAGAAGGGAAGAGGGAGAGCAGGACGAGGAGACACATAAAAAAAATACCTGCCCGAGTGAACGAGACGCCTCCACGGAGTCCGAGCACAGGAAGCGTGGCACCGAGAAGCTTCCCGGCTGTGGCAAGCGCCAGTCCAACTCGCACCGGAATCTCCCACAGAGTGCCTCCAGAGCCGGTGCCTTCCTGGGGCGCCAGCCCCTCGACATCTCGTCCCCTTTCCCCTTCCCCTTCCCCCTCCCCTTCACTTCCCTTCCCTTCCCCTTTTCCCCTGTTCATTTTCCCCTTTCCCTTCCCTTCCCCTTTCCCCTGTCCCTTCCCTTCCCCTTCCCCTTTCCCTCCCCTGCCAGTTCCTTCCCTTTTCTCTTCCCCTTTCCCTTCCCTTACCATTTCCTCTTTCCCTTCCCTCCCCGTCCCTTGCCATTTCCCCTTTCGCCTTGGTGTCATAGGGTGCGCCATAGATCGCGCCACGCTGTACAGCATAGGTGCACCATAGGTTGAGTCATTACTCACACCATAGGCCCATATATTGCACCATGAATGGCGCAAGAGCTGTACCAGCCATGGATGTGGCTCGCGCTAGAGCGGAGACACCGTTGCCAAAGGAGAGCTGTTGTCGAAGAGGTTTGTGAACTTCCACGCGCCTGCGCCGTATTGTTCTGTCGGGGCCACCATGCTGCTAAAAAGCCGTAGTCGGTGGGCGAGTGGATTATGGTTGCTGGTCAACTCCTGCTTTCGAGAAATGAAGGCCGTCTAAACTGCACTCGTGTGGTGGTGGATGTTCGTGTCCGTCGGACTGTCGAAGCCGATCATTCGACCGAAGCACTTGAGATTGCCGCTGTAAGGAAAGATATCGATGTCCATGCCCTGGACACATGCTAATCGTGAGCTTGCCCTGCCCGTGCGTCGCGTGGCGTTACTCCTGATATGTCTGGCTCGGGTGTACTTCGAGCCCGTGCTGTTGTGACGCTGTCATAATGTCGTCGAGCATCGCACTGAGCCGCGGGAGAGGAGAAGGAGGCACCAAAGGAGAAGCACCCCCTGAACAGTTCTTGTCAACCGAAGTGGATCACAAGAACTGGCTGCGGGAGCATTGTACTCCTTCACGCACCACGGACGGAATGCAATGTTGTGACGCGTATCTCTGCCACTCGATGTCCTCGGGATGGGGTCTGCGCTGCAACCGAATCCGAATCGCCACGCAGAGGTGGTAGGCGCGGTTGCCGGCGAAGCGGTGGAGATGTCACTCTCAGGTGAACATGTCGCTGCCGCTGCGGCCAGATCATCCTGGACACGTGGCCAGCGCTGCGGTCGGACCGCTGAAATGTGACCGGCGCTCAGGCAGGAGCTTCATTTCGAAAATCCGCGCTATTCTCGCGGCCAGTGCCGCCAGAGCCCACCGACAGCGGGACCAGCGTCAGGTAAGGTGCCCGGCGTCAGGCTAGGGGTTAGGGGGTGGGGGTCCTTGTAACGGGTGCTTTGCTTCGCTTAGATCGGATCAAGAGTACCGTATACCCCCTCGGCTCTCGGGGTGAGAGCATTCAGCAAAAGGGCGCGCAGACTGCTGCAATGCCAAGTCCGGTCGACCCCTTCCGCTGAAGTCTCCAGAGCCCTCTGGAGGTGCCTGGGTGCCTCCGAAGGCCCCGGGCCAAACAGCTGACATGCAGAAACGTCTGACGAGATCGTCTTCCGTCCTTCCCTCCTCGGGCGGGTGGTAATGGGGGGGGGACTCAATAAACGTGGGGTGGAGAAATGGGGTGACTTGATACATGCGGGGTGGAGACATGGGGTGACTCAATAAACGTGGGGTGGAGACATGGGGTGACTTGATAAATGTGGGGTGGAGAATTGGAGTGACTTCATAAACGGGGGGTAACTTGATAAACGTGGGGTGGAGACATGGGCCCCCAAGGGGCCGTTTCGGGCCCCTTCGAGGCCCGTGCTGGCTCCCAAAGGAGCCCTACAGGGCCCCCTTAGGGCCCCTTTTGGTTTTTCTGTTGTTCTCGGCCCCCAGTCAGGTCACCCCCCACTGCCACCCGCCCGATCGCCTTCCGCTCTCCCTTCTTTCCGTCCTCCCCCTCTGCCCCCCCCCTACCCGCTCCTGTCCCCCCAAGGAGGGGCGGAAGGAGGAGGAAGAGGAGGCAGGAGAAGAAGACGACAACGACAAGGAGGGAGGAGGAGAGGAGGAGGAGGAGGAGGAGGAGGAGAAGGAGGAGCAGGAGGAGAAGGGAGGGGAGGAGGAGGGGAGGAGGGGAGGAGGGACAGAGGAAGAGGCAGAAGAGGGGGGAGGGAGGAAGGAGAGACGGAGGAGGGGGACGAGGAGGAGAGAGGGATCGAGGATGGAGCAATGGAGCAGAGAAGGAGGGAGAAGAGGAGGGAAGGAGGAGGAGGACGACGACGACGACGACGACGACGACGACGACGACGACGACGACGACGACGACGACGATCGATCCTCCTCGATCCTCGATCCCCTCCTCTCCAGGGCACCCGCGGGGGGGGGGCCGAAGCGGGCCGCGAAGCCCGGGCCTGCGGCAGCAGGAGCAGGCCCGCTCGCAGAGGAGGGCGACCAGGAGGTACAGGCCGCACGCTGCGTGGGGGGGGGCCCAGCTCGCCTCCTCCTCCTCCTCCTCCTCCTCCTCCTCCTCCTCTCTCTCCATCCTCATCATCATCATCATCATCATCATCATCATCATCATCATCATCATCATCATCATCATCATCATCATCATCATCGTCATCATCATCATCATCATCATCATCATCATCATCATCATCATCATCATCAGCAGCAGCAGCAGCATCATCAGCATCATCAGCATCATCGTCATCTCCGACGATGTGGTTTTTGTTCCACCGGCGGTGTCTCTTCGAGTTCGGCCCCTGGGCCCCTCCGCGCGCCCCAGGGACCATCACAAGAGAGACTCCCCCCCACCACAACCGCTGCCCAGACGTCCAACGGATTGCAGATGATTGTTCGCAACAGAAATACAAAAAAACGTGGCGTTTCGTCGTTTTCGGCCTCTGGGGGCCCGCGCTGGGCGGGCCCCGGGACCGTCGCCAGAACGGCCCGGTATGAGAAGTCGGGCCCGTCTTGCGAAGGGAATCGAGGCCTCCGGGGGGGCCACGTCGTGCAGGAGTGACGACGTTGTGGGTCTCGGTACCCGCGGCCCGCCGCGCCGCAGGCCAACATCAGGAGGCAACTTCGGGGAGTTTGCCGGGAGAACGAGTGAGGGCTTCTCGGCCCTGTGATAAAACGACGCCAGGACGAAGGCAGAATCGGGGGAGGAAAGATCGAGAATCTCTGAGATCTGGCGGCTCTGGAGGATGCCCCGGGCGCCGCGGCCTTCCCAGAGCGTTCTGGAACGCTCTGAGAGCGTTCCGAAACGCTCTGGAACGGATTTATCCTCGCCCAGGCCCCGTCCGATACTGGGCACTATGAGGGAGCCAGCAAGCCGGATTCAGCCCGAGTCGGCCCAGGATTGGGCCGGGTGGAGCGGGCTCCAGCGGACTGGGCCGGACAAGGACGGCTCTCTACCACGCATACACCAGCGCCGATGCTGAGTCAAGCCTCCCAGGAGCAATCAAGTCACCGCTGCGCTCACAGCGTGACCGAGGCGTGGCCGCAAGTGCGCGAGTCGAGGACGCGGGCCGCTTCGCGGAGGAGGCCGGGACGGGCAGCGCTCCAGGGGGGGGGGGGGGCGCCGAAGGTGCGGAGCCGAAAGGTAACCTCCGAAGCCAAGGTGCTTTTGCCCCTCCAAAGCTGGGGCCGCCCCGCCCCAGGCCACCACTTTGCTGGCGCGGGAGAAAGAGAAACTGCATGAGAATGAAGCTCTCAAAGACCCGAGTACATCAACCTTACGGCTGCAAGGCGGAAGGAGCCTTGGATGTCTGGATAGCTGCCTCCTGCTCACATCCGTGGCAATGGAAAAAATCAAGCTGTGAGGGTGGCGCTGAGGGGGGGGGAGAGGGTTCCCCGAAGCCCCCAAAGACCTCCAGAGGCCAGAAGATGGCTGGAAACGCCCAAAGACGACTGGCATAATCCCAATCTGCATTCATCCATCCATCCATCCATCCAACCATGCCCCTCTCCCAGCCTCCCTCCCTACATCTCCCTTCTTCTCGACCTGGCTCTCTCCATCTGTCTTTCCCTCCGTCCCTCTCCCTCGGTGACTCCCTCCCTCCCTCACTCCTTCCCTCAATGCCTCCAGAGTTCATCCTTCCGCTACTGCTCCATCCTCCATCCCTCCTGGCGCGTAGACTGCTGCAATGCCGAGTTCGATCGACCAGCCCGTTCTTCCTTCCTGCTCTGCCTCCTCTTCCACCTCATCTTCTTCCTCCACAACACTCATCCTCATCAGCAGCAACAGCAAGAACAACAGCAAGAACAACATCAGCAACAACAACCAAATCAGCAGCATCATCAGCATCCTCATCATCAGCATCAGCATCAGCATCAGCATCAGCATCTGCATCCGTATCATCATCATCATCATCATCATCATCATCATCATCATCATCATCATCATCATCATCATCATCATCATCATCATCATCATCATCATCATCATCATCATCATCGTCGTCATCATCATCATCATCATCATCATCAGCATCATCATCATCATCATCATCATCATCATCATCATCATCATCATCATCATCATCGTCATCATCATCATCATCATCATCATCAACATCATCATCATCATCAGCAGCAGCATCATCGTCATCGTCATCGAGGTCATCATCATTATCATCGTCATCACCATCATCAGCATCATCATCATCATCATCATCATCATCATCATCATCATCATCATCATCATCGTGAGCATCATCGCCATCGAAATTATGGTCATCCTCATCCTCCTCATCGTCATCATCAGCAACATCATCGTAGTTAGAATCAAAGAGAGCATCGTCATCATCATCGTAATCAGCATCATCAGCAGCATCGTCTGCAGAATCAGCATCATCAGCAGCATCAGCATCATCATCATCGTCATGACCGTCATCATCATCATCATCATCATCATCATCATCATCATCATCATCATCATCATCATCATCATCGTCGACATCATCATCAGCATCATCATTATCGTAGTCATCATCAGCATCATCATCAAAAAGCTCGTCGTCATCATCGTCATCATCATCAGAATGAGCAGCAGCATCATAATTACCGTCATCATCATCATCGCCATCATCAGAAGTATCATCTTCAGCAGCATCATCATCATCAGCAACATCATAAGCATCAGCATCATTATCATCATCACCAGTAGCATCCTCATCAGCAGCATCATCGTCGTCCTCATCCTCATCATCATCAACCTCATCTCACTGGCATCAGCATCATCATCGGCATCGTCATCGTCTGCATCATCGTCATCATCATCATCATCATCATCACCATCATCAGCATCATCGCGTCGTCATCGCCAACATCCTCATCATCATCAGCATCATCAGCGGCATCATTATCAGCATCTTCATCCTCATCCTATCATCATCAGCATGAGCATCATCGTCGCTACCATCCAGCCTTGATCGTCCGCCTCCTCCTCTTCCTCGTCCTCAGCATCATCGTCGTCATCATCAGCATCATCATCATTACCATCGGCATCATCATCACCATTAGCATCATCATCAGCAGCATCATCGTCAGCATCATCATCATCATCATCATCATCATCATCCTCATCATCATCCTCATCCTCATCCTCCTAATCATCATCATAATCACCATCCCCATCACCGTCACCATTACCATCATCATCATCATCATCATCATCATCAGCATCATCATCATCAGCATCATCATCATCATGATCATCATCATCATCATCATCATCATCATCATCATCATCATCGTCATCATCAGCATCATCATACATATCATCAACATAGTACCCCGCTCACAACAAAACCAACGCCGACACCGGCAGGGCCAGAGCGTAGAAGAACGGAGCGCCAGCAGCCAACACCATGTGAATGCCGCGCTCGATATAGTCGACCTCCACGGTTAGCCTGCGAAGGTGGGGGAGGGAGAGGAAGTCGCCACGCCACCACACCAGTGAACGTTCGCACTCCTTGGCAAAAGGCGGCATCCCCAACCAGCTGCGTTCCAGGCGTGTCGAGCATAGACCTGTCAAGAACACGCTCGCCAAGATCCTCCTGTGTACTGCGTGCAGCTTTCCAGACCACCACGAACTCAAAAATCCTACACCCTTTGCGATTACATGAGCGCTGATTGGACGGTGAAAACTGGACCAACTGATCGTGGCACACCAGAGTCCGAAGCGCGCCTGGCACGAAGGCTCAGCGCACGTAGCGCTGGAGCAAAAGTGCGCACTGTACATGACTGGCGGTAACAGGCGCGCACGCACATGAGACGGTAGCGTCCTGGCGACAGGGCGGGCTTTCGGAGAAGCACAAACTACGCCCCTTCAGAAGAGGGGGGCGGGGAGGGCGGTGGGGGGAGGCCAAGGGGGACTGGAGGGATTTGAGAGGAACACAAAGCCTGCATAAGCATAAACTGTCCGAGGTCCGCGCGGTTGTTCTTTAAGTCTGCGGTAAACCCCCTACCCTGGCGCGCGCGGGGCGCACCAGGGGCGGCGCCGGAGGCGCCGCCAGGGGGACCCCGACGCCGATCCAAGGAAATCAGCGCGGAGCTCCGAAACTGTACGCGTATGCCGACGCACATAATCAGGACGCACGATAAGGATGTAAGGGCCTTGGAAGGCCGCGTTGACACTTTTTGCTGCGGGGCGCCGCCACCGAATGTGAGGATGGGCCGAAGGGGGAGGATGCAAGGGCAACTTTGTAAAGCTGCTCATCTCGGGAAGACGGAAGACTCGAGTTCGAGGGTCTCGGGTTGGCCTGACGGGGTCATCATGCAAATGACGAGACGCAGCTTGAAATTCGACTCGAGCTCCCGCTGCAAACCTGCCACGAAAAGTGGACCGTGAAAAGCCAGGCCGCGCTCGTCAAAAAGCGTCGGCTAACCAGAGTTCCGAGTCTTACGCTTCCCCGAACCGAGCGCTTCCACGCCCAACCCGGGAGAGAGGGAGGAGAAGGATTGTCGCCGCCTGGCGGATGTCGCCGCCGAGGGTCCGTAGCGTCGTCGCGGGTGACCCTTCTCTCCCGGCCCCCGGCCCAGCCGGTCTGCTTGCGGTCGCTCCCCCTCTCCTCCTTACGCCTCTCCGATCATCCTTGCTGCGAGCTTGGACTGCGGGGGCCGAGTGTTACGGTGCATCCTCGGGGGGCCTTGCCTCTCCCGCCGCGGCCCGATCCGCGTCGAGTCCGCGACGGACTCGTCGAGTCCGTGCCGAATCCGTGCCGCATCCGCGCCGCACCCGCACCACATCCGCGTCGAGCCCGCACGGAGCCCGCGCCAGGCCCCTGAGAGGACACCGATTTAGGGTCAGATCGGGCGTGTCCTCCTACACGGGGACTTTGGACGGAAAATGAAAAACAGTCCAAACATACCCCCACACTGATCAAACAGATACTCAAACAAAAATCGTCCCCTGACTACTGCTTGCCTATCTTTGAATCTTCCCCCTGTGGAGGGGCACGCCCGACTTAAACTGAGGGGGACAGGCGAGGGCCCCCGAGGATGCCACGCAACGAGTGGAGCCGCGAGGGAGGGCACGCGCAGGGGCCGCGCAGGGAGGGCGCGCGAGGGGCCCAGGGGCCAGAGGCCCCCGCCTGTGGAAGCGGAGGTGCGTGGCGTAGAGGGCCGCGTGCAGGAGGATGGACAGGATCACCACGGCCTTCCCGCGCTGGAGGGACCACGCCGGGACCCCTCGCGTCGCGAAGAGGTCACGGCGAGAGGTTTCTCGTTATCTTCGGCCTCTGGGGGCCCGCACCGGGCCTCGGGACCGTCAAGAAACGACTCAGGATGGAACACCGGTCCCGGGTAACGGGTCTGGACCTGTGGTGGTCGACGTTGTGAAAAAAATCACGACGTCAGGGGTCTGGGACGCCAGGACCACGCGGGACCACGCCGAGACCACGCCAGGACCACGCCGGGACCACGCCGGGACCACGCCAAGACCACGCCGGGACCACGCCGGGACCACGCCGGGACCACGCCAGCGCAGTTCTGGCGGCGCGCACAAGGGGGGCAGGTCGGCTACACGCAAGAGGTAGCCTGGGCAAGAGTGACCTCTATAGAGTGCGCGGATTCATGGACGGCGCAAGGCTTGGTAGCAACTCATGGGAGCCTCCGATACCATCTTGTCGGCTCTTGCGGATCGACGCTAATCGACGCTAGATCGGTGCTAATCGACGCTAAGTCGACGCTAGACGCTAGACGCTAAATCGGCGCTATCTCATCAACTCCCAGACGCTAGTCGACGCTAATCGGCGCTAAAGACGGAATTACGAAGGTGCACAAGGCTCCCATGATTTGCTACCGAAGCGAGGTGGCCAAATCCAAGCGCGCCTGCAGCCAGACTATCGCAACGCGCTCGGCGATCGGAGGGACCCCGGTGAGCCCAGAACAAAGGAGGTCACTCCGGCGAAGGGTCACTCCTGCGTGCAGCTGGGCAGGGGGACGGAGGCAGGCTTCCTGGAAGGAGGCTGCCTCTCAGAAGGCGCCAGCCTCACATCTGGGCGATTCCGACAACCCTGAACCCAAAAACGTGGCCATCTCTTGTGGGCGCATGTGTTTCTTCCGCCGTCTTCCGCCGAGCTTCCGCCGGTTTCCGCCGGCAGAGGCGGCCTCGTTTTACTTCCGCCGACCTTCCCGCCGCCCTGCCGCCGCCTTCCGCCGGGGAAGAAAGGGCAACGCCTTCGATCCTCGAAGGCATGGCCCTTTGCGGACGCCCCCCCCCTACAGACGAGGCCCGCGCCTTCTCTGAAGCCGGGGTGCCTCTCAGAGACGCCTTCCCCCCTCCCCCTGGCTTTAGGTCGGGCATGTCCTCCTACCGGCAGATTCGGGGCGAAAAAAACCAAAAGAGCCAAAAACTATTAAAATGATCCCAAATGACAAAAGAATCGTCCCCTGACTATTTTCTGACCATCTTTGCATTTTCCACCCGTAGAGGGACGTGCCCGACTGGACCCTGGCCGACCCCTGCGCGTGGGCCGCACACTCGAGGTCCGCTCGCTGCTGCTGGCCCTCTGGGCCCTGCCGGGCCCCCAGGCTGGGTAGGCGAAGCCAATCTGGCGCCAACCTGGCAGGCCCAACCTGGCAACCGGGGGCAGTCTGGCGAGGGAGCCAGCGCGAATCCGGCCTGGCGAATAACCCAAATCCTCCAACCTGTCCTGGCCAGATTGGCCCTTGGGGCCCAATCAGCCTCGTCTTCGGGCAGGCCTTCCCTCTGTCCTTGGCATTTTGGAAGCTCGTCTTGGCTTGCCACTGGCGGGGGACCTTGGTGACTTGGGCATTTCCTGGACACAAAGACGATGACTAACTGGTTCTATTCGACCCGTCTTGAGACACGAACCAAAAGGAGTCTGACAGATGTGCGAGTCCCAAATCTGCCCGCCCGGCCCTCGACTGCCCCGCCAGAGGCAGGCGCCCCGAGGGGGCGGCGCCCCCGCGGGCAGCTCCGCGGGCAGGGCGCGCAGCCCGGCCTTCTTGGCAGCGCGCTGGCAGGCCCAGGGGGCGCCCTCTCGGGTTCGCTCGCCTTCGAGAAAAAAACAAACCCCTGCTCCTCCCTCCTCCCTCCTCCTCCCTCCTCCTCCTCCTCCTCCTCCTCCTCCTCCTCCTCCTCCTCCTCCTCCTCCTGCTCCTCCTCCTCCTCCCCTCCTCCTCCTCTTCCTCCTCCCCCCTCCTCCTCCTCCTCAGATCGGCTGCCAGCAGTCTCCCCGTGGCTTCTGCGAACGCCCATCACATCCTCCATCGTCCTTCCCGCCCTCCCTGTGTCACTCAACAGTTACACATTATGAATACTACTCTACTCTCCCCCCCGTACTCTGTTCGGAAAATGTTCGGCCGCGTACCCCATGATGTTACACACCGGATGTCAAACAGCATGTTTCTTATACTTATGTGTATAATTCGATTGCTTTCGGTGTTTCAAAACGGTGCTCTCACTGCAACGTGGGCATCATTCTCGAATGAGCGCTTCGCTCCCGTCGTTCAGAATGGCGCTGTCGCCCCAGCGCCGGCCATTTTGCTTAATCCGAGTCGTTCTTCGTCGTTGCCGCACCCCTCATCAGCCCTCCTCCGCCGTTCCCTGGTCCTCCTGCTCCTCCCATTCCTTCCACTCCAGCTCCTGCTGCTATACGCCCTCGTTCTCATCCTTCCTCATCCTCCTGTTCCTCATCCTCCTGCGCATTCTCTTGCTCATCGGCCGCCTCATCCTCCAATGTGCACAGCTCCCTTTTCCCCGATTGCAAGTAACACGATGGGGTCATCTTTGAATACTGGGTCCGCTATGACACGCGTCGGCGGATAGAGAAAAAACAGCGCAATGAGAAGGGATAGGTGGGAAGGGTCGGAAATCAGATAAGACGCGAGCGCACCTAGCTTGTCCCCCCCCACCCGCTTCCCTCTCTCTTCTCCCCCTCACACAATCTGCATGTACCTCTCTATACTTAACCGTGTGTACACTGATACACAAACACCTCTACAAGCACTTGTACCTATATGTCAGCGCCCCTCGATATACCTGTAGCATGTGCATGCACGCGCGTGTCATGCGCATGTGCAAGAATATACACGTGTGCACGTGTATGTATATATATACATATATACGCAATCGCACAGATATACCGATACACGTACATACACGCCTGCATGCATGCGTGCGTGCATGCATACATACATACACACGCACACATGCACGTATGCATACATAAATACTTACTTACATACATACATACATGCATGCCTGCATACATGCATACATGCATACATGAAGACAGGCATGCATGCATGCATACATGCATCCATCCATCCATCCCTGCATGCATACATACATGCATACATACATACACACCTATATCTACATACATAGGCATGCATACGTACACACATACAGGCGTGCATGAATACATACAGCCATGCATACAGACATACATATATGCATGCATACGTACATATACGCATACACACACAAACCAGCGCATATGTATAGACATAGATACCCGTTTGTACACACATGCATGCAAACGTACATACACACATGCGTACATACATGTTCAAACATACATACACACGCATACATACATGCGGACAGACAGACAGACAGACAGACAGACAGACGGACGGACGGACGGACAGACAGACAGTCGTATAGATATATATATATATATGCATACATTCACATATACACACATACATATATCTATGCATACATGCACACATACATATACACATGCATGTACGCATGCATATATATATATATATATATTCATGAACGCATGTATACATACACCTATACAACTATGCATACCGACACACAGACAGACAGGCAGGCAGGCAGACAGACAGACATACTTCTCCACCACCGTGCCGCTCGGCACGAGTTGGAGTGTCATCAGGTCGCTTGTAGTCCAGTCCTCAACCCTCAGGATGAAGGATTACGGGGCCCGGCCCCAGATTCGTAAATGTCCTGGAGATCCTCGCGGCTCTCCCGCTGTGTCCCGCGTCTTGTCGCATGCCTTTTTGGGGCCCAAGAAGGCCCAAAGTCGGGCCAAGGGTCACACGAGGCTCTTCAGCCTTTACAAGAAAGCTCCGAGTCGCCGAGCGATCGGTCCAAGACGCTCCAGATTGCCTCCAGACGACCCAAGAGGCCCCCAAGGCGCCCAAAACGACCTCCCAGAGCACTTCCAAGAGGGCCCCGAGAAGCCAGAATCATTGATTCGCCCTCGGCGTTTCAATGATTCTCGTCGTTTCGGGCTCCCGACGCCCCAAAACGGCCCGATGGACCCCCCAAGATCGACCCGAGAGTGCCCAAGAGGCCCCCAAGAGGGCCCCAAGATGGCCCAGTAGGGTCCCAAGACGGCCCAAGGGGCCTCCAAGACGGCCCAAGAGGGCCCCAAGACAGCTCCAAGAGGGGCGCCCAGGAGGGAGAGCAAGGCCTGAGTGGTCGCGCCCTGCGCCCCAAGACGGCCCCTGAGACCGCCAGTAGGCCCTCAAGAGACCCCCTAAGAGACCCCAAGAGGCCGCCAAAGAGGCCTCAAGGAGGCGAGAGGCCCCAGAACGGTCCCCAAGAGGCTTAAAAACGACGTCCAAAAGGCCGCCGAAAGGCCCCAACCGAGGCCCCAAACGAGACCCCAACAGGCAGCCCTGTAGATGTGTGGATGTGTGCATGTTAATACTACACATATGTGTAACATATACTATTGTATAAAACGACCCGGGGCGTACACGACCCCTTCTCCACGCGAGGTCAATATTTGCATGAACGCCCCATGCAAATGAACACATCGCCAAATATGCACGATCCCTATGAGCCCACGAAAGCGGCGGCAGCTGAACAGTTCGTAGCCTCCCACGGAGATGCGAAGTCTCGGCTGGGTCTGCGTGGCTCCCAACTCTGCCGGACCTCCCAGAAGCCCACGAAAGTGGCGACAGTTGCGCAGTTCGCAGCCACCAGGGAGCAGCGAGGTCTCAAATGGGTGCGAGTGGCCCCCGACCCCGCTGGACTTCCCGGTGCGCGGTGCGCGGTGCGCAGTGCGCGGAAGGGGGGGGGACAGTTGCGCGGTGCGCGGAAAGTAGTGACAGTTGCGCGGTGCGCAGTCTCCTGGAAAGGGGGGGGGAGGAAGGCCCAAATGGATCCTCGCGCCCCCCGGCTCCGCTGGACCTCCCAGGAGCCCACAAACGTGGCGACAGATGCGCAGCTCGCAGCCTCCCAGGGAGATGCGAAGTCTCGTCTGGATCCGCGTGGCCCCCAACTCCGCGGGACCTCCCAGGAGCCCACGAAAGTGGCGACAGCTGCGCAGCTCGCATAAACCCAGGGAGCAGCGAGGTCTCGTCCGGGTGCGCATGGATCCCGACTCCGCTGGACCTCCCAGGAGCCCACGACAGTGACGACCGTTGCGCAGCTCGCAACGGTTGCGAGCTGCGCAACGGTCGGCAGCGAGGTCCCGGGCCCTGGGTGGTTGCGGCAACCACCCAGGGCACAGCGAGGTCTCGGGCACTCCGCTACTCCGCCGTGCCTGGGAGCCCACGACAGTGGCGACAATTGTGTAGTTCGCAGACGCAGGGAGCTGCGAGGTCTCGGATGCTCCGCTGCTCCGCCGTGCCTCCCAGGAGCCCGCGAAGAGTGGCGACGGCTGCACGCTCGCAGCCACCCAGGGAGCTGCGAGGCCTCGCGTCCTCCCCATACTCCGCCGCGTCCTCCAGGAGCACACGAGAGTGGCGACAGGTGCGCCGTTCGCGGCCACCCAGGGAGCTGCGAGGTCTCGCGCACATGCTCCCCACCTCCGCCGTGCCGTCCAGGACGAGGATGGCGGCAGTCGCGCAGCCCAAGGCCAACCGTGGAGCAGCGCGGGGGAAGGCAAGAGAACGGAGGACGGGAGGAGGTGTAACCGCAGTACTCTATTCAGAACGAGAACCTAACACAGGATGGTTGGGAAAAAACGGATCGATATGTTAATGTATATATATGTGTGTATGTGTGCATGTATGTATGCATGTATGTATGTATGTATGTATGTATGTATGGATGGATGGATGGATGGATGGATGGATGGATGGATGGATGGATGGATGGATGGATGGATGTATGTGTGTGTGTGTGTATGTATGTATGTATGTATGTATGTATGTATGTATGTATGTATGTATGTACACACACTCATGCATGCATACATGTGGTGTGTATGTGTCGATCGGACTCTCTCCCTGTGGTATATCAATATTTATGTGTATATATAAGTATATCGTTATCTCTCCCTCTGTTCTCTCCCTCTCTCTCTGTCTCTCTCTCTCTCTCTCTCTCTGTGTATACACATATACATATGTGTATAGCTTGCTCGCTCTGTCGATATCTATCCGTGTGTAAATATATACACACACGTACATGCATGCATGAATGCATGCATACAGACATATATACATACATATCCGCCGGCCCCCTTTGCGGGGCCATCAGGCTGCGAGGCTCAGGCTTGCTGACCCCTGCGCCACTTCCAGTTGCCAGTGTCCAATGCTACAATATTGTGTCCTGCTTCTTTTGGAAAATTGGTATCTCAATTTCTCGGGGGCCGTGTGACATTTAAAAGTACATGAGTCTCGCGCTCCCGACACAACAATCCCTCGCAGATGATGCTGTATTCGCGCCCCCGAGGCCAAGTTCCCTCGTAAAGTACATTGCGTTCGCGTTCCCGAAGCCACGATCCCTTGCAAAATACTCCATCTTCGCGCTCCTGAGGCCACGATCTCCTGCAAATTACACATAATTCTCGCCTCTGGGGCCACGATAACCGGCAAATTACTCAACAGTCGCGTCCCCGAGGCCACGATCCCTTGCAAATTACACCGCATTCGCGCCCCCGAGGCCACGATCTTTCGTAAATTGCACCTCGTTCGCGACCCCGAGGCCACGATCCCTTGCAAAGTACGCCATATTCGCGCCCCCGAAACTATGATCCCTTGTAAATCGCGCCACATTCGCGCCCCCGAAGCCACGATCTCGCCCAAGAGGCCCCAAGAGGCGCCCAAGACGCGCCCAAGAGGCCTTCAAGAAACCCAAAAGATACCCCAAGGGGCCCCAGGAGGCCCCCAAGAGGCGCCCAAACCGCCTCCAAGAGGCCCCCGAGAGGCTCCCCACGACACCCCAACACATATACAAGAGGCCTCAGACGCACAACCCAGGCACGGTGGCGGGATGGACCGAAGGCCACTAGGATCCGCCGCCCCCTGCTTGCAGGGGTGCACGGCGTGCTGGACGATTCAGGTTTTGGTTTTGGTTCTTTTTCTAAAAAGAACTCCCCAGTGGGCTTCGGCCCGTCCCGCCGGCCACCCGTAAATCTCATAAAACCCATCTGTCAATGCCCAAAAACGGCCGTTTCGCTCGGGACATCCTCAAAAAATCGCCAAGATGGCCCAAGATGGCCTCCAAGTCCGCCCGAGATGGTCCAAGACGGCCTCCAAAACGGCCCAAGAGAGTCCAAGACGGCCCAAGACGGCCCAAGAGGCCCCCCAGAGGCCTCCCAGACGGCCCAAGAGGCCTCCAAGAGGTCCTCCAGGAGAGTCCGAAGAGGCCAAAATCATTGATTTTCCCTTGGTTTTTGAAGGATTTTGGCATTTGCGCCTTTTCGGCTCTCCGACGGCTCAAGACGGCCCAAGAAGCCCCCAAGATCGCCCAAGAGGCCCCCAAGAGAGCCCCATGATGGCCCAAGTGGCCTCCAAGATGGCCCCTAGAGGGCCCCAAGAGGGCCCAAGAGGCCTCCAACACGCCCAAGATGGCCTCCCAGACGCCCAAGATGGCCTCCAAGACGGCCCTGGAGCATTCCAAGCGGGCCCCAAGTCGGCCCATAGAGGCCCCCCAAACGGCTTCCGACGGCTTCAGACGTGCCAGGAACCCACCAAGATGGCCGAAGTTGGCTCGAAGCTGGCCCGAGACGGCCCAAAAAGCCCCAAAGATCGCCCAAAGCTTGCCCAAGAGGCCTCCAAGACGGCCAAGATGACCTTCAAGATGCCCACGTGTTCCCCGAAGGCTTTCCAAACCGATTCGGGGAACACGTGGTCCGATAGCTTGGCAGGTCTGGCCTCAACGTTCGGCCACATAGGCGCTTCCAAAAAGGCAGGGGGCGGCGGTGATTCGCCGTAGGCGTCTTCGATCCGCCGCTCCCTGTTGATTCCTCACAGGGTGCCTGGCGTGCCAGACTATTACGACTTTGGTTTTGGAAAAGGCCAAAATCATTGATTTCCCATAGGTGTTTGAAGGATTGTGGCATTTGCTTTTTTCTGCCTTCCGACGACCCGAGACGTCCCAAGTGCCCCCAAAGATCGCCCAAGAGGGCCAAGACACGGCCCCAAGAGGCCCCCAAGACGGCCCAAGAGGTCTCAAAGACGCTCCAGATAGCCTCCAAGACGGCCCAAGAGCCCTCCAAGACGTCCTCCAAGAAGGCCCGAATGGGTCAAAATAGCCTCCAGACGGCCTAGATGACCTTCACAAGATGCCCACGTGTTCCCCGAAGGCTTTCCAAACCGATTCGGGGAACACATGGTCCGATAGCTTGGCAGGTCTGACCTCAACGTTCGGCCACATAGGCGCTTCCAAAAAGGCAGGGGGCGGCGGTGGTTCGCCGTAGGCATCTTCGATAACGCCAACCTTTCAGCATGCGCGGATGACTCCTATCCGCCCCCGCATGCTGTTCCCAGATGCGCCAAGGCAGCGCCGAGACGCACCGATGCGACCCTGACATATCCCTTTATGATAGAAAGGGGGCCGGCGGCAGGGGGCGAAGCCCTTACGGATATACATACATACATGCGTACGTATACACATACATGCATACCTACCAATATACCGACATACCTACCTACCGACCTACCTACCTACCTACCTACAAGCATGCATGCATGCATGCATGCATGCAAACCGATCTACCTACCTACCGACCTACCTACCTACCGACCGACCGGTCGACCTATCTACATACATACCTGTATATATGCATACATACATACATGCATACATACATGTACACGTGTCGTCCTCTCTCTCTCTCTTTCCCTCTCGTTATTTCTTGGTGCCTCAACATATATATATATATGTATGTGTGTGTATCCCTCCCTCTCTCTCTCTCTCGCTCTCTCTCTCTCTCTCTCTCTCTCTTTCCATCTCCTCCATCTCCGCCTCGCTCTTCTCTACACCTCGCTGAACATATACACATGTAGATAGATCCACACACACACACACACACCACCTCACGTCACCCCGCTTCAGCTCACACCACTCCGCTCTCCCTCGCCCCCGCTCGCCTCGCGCTCCTCTCCCCGCCTGCCCGCGGAAGCCAGAGACTGCGGGCGGGGCCCGCCCAGGGCAGGACGACGAGCATCTGCACCGCCTCACTCTTCGACAGCCCCTCCAGCCAGGCGCCGCTCTCCGCCACCATCCGGGGGGCGCGGAACATGGTGGTCGCCATCGCGCGGAGGGGGGGGGGGGGGGGGCAGGGGGGAGGGGGGAGGGGGAGGGTGAGGGGGAGGGAAAGGGAGAGGAAGAGAGAGTTGGAGAGGGAGAGGGATGGGAAGAGGAAGGGGGAGGGGGAGAGGGAGGAGGAGGAGGAGGAGGACGAGGCGGACGACGACGAGGAGGGCTGGAAGCATTCATTCACAGCGATTTTTGGTGCCAACTCTGTGAAGGAACAGGTGTGCCGTCTGAGGGCAAATCGTTCAAGCTTGGGCGCACTTGCACTCCTGGCCTCAAGGACCATGGGAGGAAGGTGGTGCGGGCCTTGGGGTCGGGCAAGCTCACCCCTGATCGGAAAAGCTGGAAAGCTGGTTAATTTAGTGGACTGGGCCACCTCCTGTCGCAGCCTCTGAATCCAGAGCCCGTCGTTCCTGGGTTAGCAAAATCCAAATGCAGGTTGCCGGCCATTGTTCACTCTGGAGGCCCTGATTGGAACCACCTCCGCAGGCAGGCAAGAGGCGAGAGGAGTGGCAGGAGATGGAGGAGGAGGAGGAGGAGCAGCAGAAATAAGGTAAGAGTGAGGAGGTTTGGGTTGGACACGTCGGAATAGGGAAGCAGTTCAGGACAGCCTTTTAAAGCTGTGCTGCCAATTCGTTGGACTCTACACAGGAAGCAACTGTGTTTCGCCACCCACCCACGAAAACAACCAGGAAAAGCAGATCGAGAAATCCGCTGCCCCTCAGGAGTGCCATCCCACAAGCGCGACACACGGGCAAGCGAGCAGAATGAGGCATAAGCACTACCCACCGAAAGCGACTGACCACAAACCAAACAGCCAGGCAATTTTGGAATGAACCTGGCGCGACCTCAATTGGGGGAGCGCTTCCTAAGCGGCAGTTTTAGGCATTGCCTGGCATTGTATGTTTAAATGGCATTACATTGATGCGCATTGTTTTGCACTGATGTGTATTGATTGGCACTGATTGGCTTTGCGTGGCATTGCTTGTTATTGTTTGGCATTGCTTGGTGTTGCTGCGCGTTGCTTTGCAGTGCTGTGCATTGCTTGGCTTTGCGAGGCGTTGCAAGGCGTTACTTGGCATTGCTTGGCGTTGTTTGCTTTGCATTTCTATGCTTGGCGTTGCACGGCATTGCTTGGCGTTGTTCGGCAATGCTTGGCATTGCGTGGCACTGTTTGGCAGTACTTGGCGTTGCGTGGCATTGCTTGGCATGCTGGCGCTGCTTAGCATTGCTTGGCTGTGTTTGGAACTGCTTGGCGTTGCTTAGCACTGCTAGGAAACTAAGCCAAACAACCCGAAGCGGGCCTCTACAGAAACGGTAAGGAAACAAGACCTAGCAACCCGAGGAAGGCCACATCAAAATTAACAAGGAAAGAAGACATAGCCACCTGAGCAAGGCCCCTTTTTCAGAAGCAAGAAGGGAACAAGACAAAGCAACCCGAGGAAGGCCACTTCAAAAACGATAAAGCAAAAAGACAGAGCAACCCGAGGAAGGCGTCTTCAAAAGCGGTAAGGAAACAAAACCCAGCAAACCGAGGAAGACCTCTGCAAAAGCGGTAAGGAAACAAAACCGGCAAACCGAGGAAGGCCTCCTCAAACACGGTAAGGAAACAAAACAAAGCAAACCGAGGAAGGCCTCCTAAGAAAATAAGGAACAAACCAAGCCTCTAAGGAAGGCCAGCTGGCACCAAGGCCTCGCGCCCACTGGCTCTTCAAAAACCAATGAAGCAAAACAAACACAAATGTATGCCTCGTTGGGGAGTTTAAGATCAACGCTCAAGAAGCAGTTCGCATTGAATCCTCATCCTGCCATCTACTCCCCCTCCCGCTGCGCTAGCAAGCGGAGCAAGCAATATAGAAAGTAAGCAGCGAGTATGCTGAGGGGCAAGGGGGACATCCAGTCATCTCCTCCCCTTTCCGCTACGCCAGCAAGCGGAGCAGCGGTAGCAGCGCGTAGACTGAGGAGAAGGACGCATAACAAGGGAAGCGCTGCCGCCTCGCCTCGACTTGAGAATCCGCGCCCTTGCTCTTGCCCTTGACCCAGCAAGCAGAAGTGGCACACGGAAGCGGCATCGCCGCTCCCAGGCCGTACCCCAAGGATCGGCAACTCCGGCCCAGGGATCATTGCGCTTGTACTTGCTCTGGCCATTGCCCGCCGATGAGGTGGAGCCTTCAAGGAGAGCCGCACTGGCAGAAGAGCCAGCAGCTGGCAAAGCGTCCGAGTCCATGTCTGCGGATGCCGCGACAACAAATACCCTAACAGTCCGATCATAGAACTGAAAGTGTGTTTGAAAATCTCTGAGAGAGGTTCTAAACATGTGCCAGACATGTCTCTCATATCCTTACGACTTGTTCGAGCCATGTTTTTACACATCTGGAACCTATTTGGGAGCATGCCTTCTCTCCACTGGCCGCCGCCCACAAAAGTCCACGTGCATGCCCTCGCCCCCGCCCCTGCCTGTGCACTCCCCCTCTCGCCCGCAGGTCGGCCGCCACCCCCGCCGGCAGGCGGGCGGCCTCGGCACGCGGCTCTGGCAGATGGGGCACCACCTGCCTCCCGCGTGGTGGCTGCAGCTCGCTCGCCCGGGGCTGCGCGAGCCTCTGGGCGCGGCGGGCCGGAGAAGTACTGCGAGGCCGCCGAGGACGGCGCCGCCGACCAGCGCCAGGCCGCGAGGGCACCCGGAGAAAGGTGCCCTCCAAGCTGCCGACAGGGGTGGACGGAGCACTAACGGACGGCGACCTCAGGAGGAGGAGGAGGAGAAGGAGGAGGAGGAGGAGGAGGAAGAGGAGGAGGAGCAGGTCGAGGTTGAGGTTGAGGTTGAGGTTGAGATGAAGGAGGAGGAGGAGGAGGAGGAGGAGGAGGAGAGGAAACGAAAGAGGAGGGAACAGGCGAAGAAGAGAAAGAGGGGGAGGGTACAAGCACGGAGAAGTGATAGAGGAGATGAGGATGAGAAGGAGGAGGTCGAGCGTAACCTCCGGATACATCAACGATGCGGTGACACACCACCCCGTCCCGAGTCTTCTCCTCACAAGTACCAACAACTGTCCCTCGCACTATGGGAAGAGCCCCCATTGAGAGACGAGCGCTCCATTGGCGCACCACTCAGGAGGGAGCCCGCTTGTACCAAGTGACCACCCTGCACCATCTCTGCAACAATGATACACGTCAAAATGTAGACATACAATGCTCAGATAAGCAGCAAACGAAAGACCCGCGTGCGTACATAGGCCGCCATCCAACCATGTAAGGTTGTGCAACACTGGCTACGCAGATTCGGGCGTCTGAAAAACGATTACCCCGTTGTGACAAGGAGCCACCCTCCGTCTGCGCGGCCGTGGCACCTGTTGAGATCCGCGTAAGCCAAAACGTTCGAAGGAGATTGCAGTTGGTGGGAGGAGAAGGAGGAGAAGGAGGAGCAGAAGCAGGATAAGAAGTAGAAAGAGAAGAAGGAGGATCATAACGAGGCAGACGGATGAGGAAACCAAATTGTCGGAGAGGGAGAGGGGAAAGAGGAGGAGGAGGAGGAGGAGGAGGAAGGAGGCGGTGGATGCGGTGGACGAGAATAGGGGAGCAGGGGAGGAGGAGCAGGAGGAGGAGGAGAAGGAGAAGGAGGAGGACAATGAGGGAGAGGACCACTGGCGGCAGCTCAAATCGAGGACGCGACCTAACCAAGTCTGGGGGGGGCTTCTGCAAGCCCCAAATGGCACTGAGAGCGGCGCAGGGGGTCGTCGTTATCCTGAACAACACCACGTGCGGTGTATTTCCAATGGCATGAGAACACGCACAGGCCCTCGCTGCCTCCTGCCCCTCCTCTTTTTGTTGTTTTCTCTCTCTCTCTCTCTCACTCTCTCTCTCTCACTCTCTCCTCTTATCCACCACCTTGCCCCCGGCACGTTTAGGCGTGGTGTAATGCCAAGGACTGCCTTGTAGAATTGTTTTAAAAGGGGCCCAAGACAGCCCGAGAAGGCCCAAGACGCCCCACGAGGGTCTCCAAACAGCCGACGAGAGCCCCAGCACGGCCCAATGGATCCTCAAGACCGCCCCAAAAGGACCCCTCGAGGTAATCCCAGAAGGCCCAGCGGCGACCCGACATTCCCCCCACACGGCCTCACAACGGCCCCGAGAGACCCCAGGACGGGCCCACTCGCAACACTGGACTAGTACGGCGACGGTCATATAATCTATAGAAATATGCATATATGTGTAGATGTATGGTTACGTATATGTTTGTATAAGTACGCGCAGATACATACATACATGCATACCTACCTACAGACCTACCTACATACCTACCTACCTGCATACATATATACATACATACACACACATACATACATACATACATACATACATACATACATACATGCATGCATGCATGCATGCATGCATGCATGCATGCATGCATGCATACACATACATACATACATACATACATACATACATACATACATACATGCATGCATACAGACAGACAGACAGACAGACAGACAGACATACATACATACATGTATACATATACACATACATGCATGCATACATACATACGTACATACATACATACATACATACATGCATGCAGACATGCGCACATACATATACATACATGCATACATACATGCATCCATACATACATACATACATACATGCATGTATGCATGAATACTTACATACATGCATGCATATATACATACATGTATGCATGTATGCATGCATGCATGCATGCATACATACATATATACCTGCAAACATAAAGACTTGCATATATATATATATATATGGACACATATGCATACAGACATACATGCATACATGCAGACAGTCAAAGATATGCCATACATACATACGTACGTGCATACACATATACAGACAGACAGACGGACGGACATACATACATGCATGCGTGCATGCATTCATGCATGCATGCATGCACGCACACATACGCACATACAAACGTACATATATACATACAGACATACATGCATACATATTTGCGGACGGCTCAGGGGTTCGTGACATCAATCCTG